TCAAAGCCTCATTTCTTGCCTTCCCTTCTAATCTCTCGTACGTTTTTGTGTCAGAGGATAGTTCTAAAAAGCAAAATAAAGATATTATTTCTTCTTATCTGTCTTTCTACAGGCAATATCCTCTTCTTCCTGCGTAACTCCCACTGGGCCTTGAGGATTCAACTTAGGCATCCTTGCACTCTGGAAGACCTACTAGACAAACCCAGAAGTGATGTGATCCTCTATTCAGGATATCCAGAGCCTCCTTCACAGACACTGTCGTGAAGTGGTCAGCATGGCTGGTACATATCTCCGCAGTCAGGATACCAGCCGGAGCGCACCACGTCTTTTTCTGCTCGTCACCCACAGTCAGGCGCTCGCCCCCCCCCCCCCCCCCCCCGCAATGCCAGCGAGCCACTAGGGAGGGGTTGGACCACTTCCCAGGCTGGGACACAAAGGCTCAAATGGCCACACGGCATGGGGGCTGGAAATAACCACTGTTCTTCCCCTCTCTGTGTCAGGGGAGGAAATTGAGGCTGACACCAGGGAGAGATTTTGGTCAAAAATTGTCCCCATACTTACCCCTGTTCCACTCCAAGATTCCCCTCCAGCCTGGGAGCGTGGTGGCCCATTGTTCACTCGGGGAAACGGTCAGGATTTGCCTCCATGGTCACGCAGCAGCACCTCCCTCCTCCAAAAAGTGGTGTCTGCATACCCACCCACCTGCGTGTGCTTTAACGTGGTGTGCACCCTGGGAACTTAGACAGGTGTGTCTGATGGGAATCCAGAGGATAGATCTCAAGTTCCCTAGCTGTGGGCAGGCAAATGAAACCAGAGAACTCCTCTTCACTCTTCAAGACCCAGTGCCAAATGCCACTGCTCTGAAAGATGTTCCCTCTTGTCACCCAGAAAGATGAACCATCCCCACCCCACTTAAGCTCACTCTGCCCACCTGGACTCCATCACACGCTGCCATCATGTTGCTTGAGTAACTGTTCATAGAGACACTTGGTTATATCACTGTCCACTGCTCCAGAACTTTCTATAGCTCCCTGCCACCTACCAATCCCCAAGCTTGTGTTCTCTGGGCCTCCCCACCTTAAATGACCCGGGTCCTTGTGGTCCTGGCATACAGCAGGCGTTCAATAAATGCGGGATGAATCAGGGCCAGCAGCACTCCACGTGGCTCTCATCCAGGATGGGTGTGGGTGGAGGACTGAGAAAATGGGGGTGTCTTCCAGACCCTTCTGGATGCAGAACAGCCTCCCAGCATAGAACATTCCAGCTCTAGAGAATAAATCCACCCTTGGCTCATTTTCTCACACAAAAACACTTTCTTTTGGAGCCGGTGTTAGAGGGCAAGGAAAAAAACGCCCCTAGATAAGTAAAAATGCAAGTGCCAGCCAGCAATAAGGATTGAAATTTGAGATGACTGTAATGAAAACTGAATTCCAGGTGACCAGGTTACCCCATCCAGTCACCTGGCCAGGTGTCCCAGGAGAGGGAGCATCCCCAAGGGTCCTGGATTCTGGTTCCCTCCCTGCCTGAGGCCACTGTCATGCCAGGGAACACCCACCTGCCATGACCTAGGTGAGGCTCCATTAGCGTCCTTAGGTTGCACTGGGCCTCGCCCCACCCTGGGGAACGGTCCCTCCGACTGCATGAGCCTCAGAAATAAGGACCCATCCTGGGTAGCGGACACTTTCTTACCTTCATCAGAGATTCAGGCAGTCAACAAACAGCCTTTTGTGACTCCTTTGTCACTGAGCATGTCCTCAAGGTTCATCCATGTTGTAGCAGGTGTCAGAATGTCCTTCCTTTTTAAGTCTGAATAATACATAGTCCACCTTCTGGATGGACCTCACAGTGTTTATCCACCCATCCATTGAGACATGGGCTGCTCCTTTGGGCCATTGTGAACATGCTGCTGTGGCCATGGGTGTGCAGGTTCTGAGTCCGTTTTCAGTTCACTTGGGTGTCCATCCACCTGGAAGTGGGAGTGCAGGATCCTATGGTGATTGCATCATTTTTTGAGGAGCCACCAGACTATTTGCCACAGCGGCTGCCCCACCGGTTGTGCACGAGGGTTATTTCTCCACCTACTTGTGAACACTTTTCCTTAAAAACAAGTGGTTCTCGAAGGTGTGAGGTGGCATCTCACTGTGGTTTACAGAAACTCTGCCAGCAGAGTAGTCACCAGTGAATTCTGGTGCTGTCGGCATGTCCCCTGACAATGATGGTCTAGGATTTGGGGTCAAATTATGCTAAGAAATGTGTGCCATTCAGTGATTTCAAGCTGGATGGGGAAGAGGTCAGCTTTGTGCCCACCACCCACATATGTTGTTTGCAAGGTGCATGGTGGGCTGGCCAACCCCCTCTAAGCCCCCTTATGGTGGCCTGCAGATGGGCGACCTTCCAGGACTATACTGCAGTTATGGAGGCCGCCTGCATGTTGATGTTCCACTTCCCAGGGTGCCAGAAGCTGCTGCGTGGGCAGGTACCACAGCCCCAGGCCCGAGTCAGAACATGGGGACAGCCCCAGGGTGTGGGGACCCTACACCTTCCCTGCCAAGGGCACCCCAGCAGTTGAAAGTTCAGGGTGGTTTGGGGATGCTTCTGGCCCTGGAAATATGTGCAGGGTGAGGGACAGTGGAAAAATCCAGATCCAGGGGAGACTGCCAGACCAGAGGCTGGTATAGTCAGCCCATCTCACAGTAACCTGCCAACTCTGACGCAGACTCGGGCAACAGTACCAGCCCAGATCTAGCCCCAAGTCACCTACCGAGGCAACAACAGAGTGGAGGGCTGGGGTTTCACGTGGCCAGGCAGAGGTTCAGGTTCAGGGCCCAGAGGGTCTTAGGCTCTGGCAGGTGAGCTACCCTAGGGGAGCCTGAACCCATCTTGAAATTCCCCCTCCATCTCCTGGAACCTCTGAAGACCAAGTTCCATGCCCCCAGCTTTGCTGACCAGCTGCTAGACTCCACTCCACGTGTGTGGACCATGATGTAGTCCCTAAAACCAGTTGGACCCCTTGTCTGACATGAACAAGACAGCTCTAGGTGTCATTCTGTCCTGGATAGGGGAGGGGGAAGGCAAGAGCCACAGAGGTGGGTAGAGGGTGGGCCCAGTCCCAGCCATCCGCTGCAGAGTGTGGCTGAGCTACCCGCTTATGAGGACACCGAGCCCCGGGGAAAGGAACTCCAATTAGCCTAAAAGCATGAACTCAGTGCTGGCTCCTGGCCTGCAGTTGCAGTTACGATGGCACCTGACAAATTACGTGAGTTTTCTGGATCGTTAAGCGGTACTGTCATTGAGGGGTAGCTTTCGGGAAGGTTCTGAGGGCAGCCTTGGGGCTCACACTTCTGGGCTGGCCTCCAGGTGCTGACTGGACTGGTGGTGCCCCCAGGGCAGGGAGGCCCCTGGCACCTTGGCCCAGAACTGGCTGCTACCCCAGTGTCCTTGCCTTGACCAAGATTGAGGAGACTTGGTAGCCACCAGATGTGACCAGTGTGAACCCACACTGCTTTCCCTGGGTCACAGCCACCTTGGTGACCTCGGCCTGTGGCTCCCCATCCCCTCCCATAGAGAGCGGCCTGTCCTTCAAGGTCATGCAAAGGCACCAGGGTGACAGACTGAGTATCTGAATAGTCTGAGAACCACAGCTTCCCAACACGATTTTTAAGTCAGGCCTGACAGCCTGCCTTGAGGGTCCTGGAGCCCAGCCTGGGACTTGGGACAACCCTCAGCACACACGGAGGACTAAAGAGGACAGACTTTTAGATCTTTTGTTAACAAAATAGCACCAACTGGACACAACAGACACGAGTGGATCAACACGGACAAAACGACCCCTCATGCAAGTAACAATCCAAACGCGGAACCAGGGAAAGGAGAGCTTGTAACAGTGCTGTTGGTCTGGGGGCTTTGGCCCAGTGGCCCCAGGATGGGTGGCTCTGCCGGCCTGTCCCTGGGTAGGAGTCTGGTCCTTGCACTATTTTGTAGGCCGGGTAATGATGCGCGTGGAGAAGTCAAACAGGTCTCGATTGATCTTGCGCAGGTTTTGCACCTCGTCTTCCAATTCCGTGATTCGGATCCGCAGCTGGTCCTGGCCGCCCAGCACATTCTGGGAAGGAGCAGGGTTGGGGGGTGGGGGCGCTCAGGGTGGAGGGCCCTCTGACATTTTGGGATGTGGGAGGGCAGAATCTCCTCCGCAATTAACAGTCCCACCCCACCACACCCCACTCCAGCCTCACCCTTCTCCATGGCCCTACCCACCTTTTCCATTGTGCTGCACATTACCATGTGCAGCTGCTCTGCTCGCTCCAGGTAGCTGGGCTCCGATCCCTGCCTTAGTGACCTCTGGGCTCACCACCCTGCTCACACCACCCAAAGGTGAGGGGGCGCCATCCTGATGCTGCTCACAGATGGAAGACAGGTTCCAAGTGTCGCTCACTGAGTGGGAGGTCTCTGTGGGAGGCTCCACCTCCACCCGACACCCAGCAGGAAGCACCGTGTCAGCCTCCTCAGATCTGCTGCCTGTTGCAGGACTGTGCCCAAGGGATGGGGACAGTCAGGGCCACACCACGGGTGTGGGATTAGGGCCAGGCTTTGGGGGATATGCAGAAACCAGGGCCAAGAAAGCTCTAGAAAAGGACCAGCTAGCATGTGGGCAGAACCCCCCACCCACTGACATTGCGCATGGAGAGCCCGACTACCTCCTGCTAGATGCAGTCTAGACATGCTGCCCTTGGCTGGCAGACAGGCACTCGGTCCTGCCATCCATCATGTCTGAGCGAGGGGCCTGGACACCCTTGTGGGGCTCATGATTCCAGGGCACGGGAACAGTGGACAGAGGTGGACTGAGCAGAGCCAGAGGGGCAATGTCAGGCCCTGCGAGGACAGGCCAGGGGTGACCTCTGGCGGGGAGTTCCTGGTGGGCACCAGGGGAGCGAGCGCTGCCTACTGTCCTGCTGGAGAAGGCACTGGATACAGCGTCTTCGGTCGGGCTTGTCTTATTTGAGAAGGTACCCGGTATGTGGTCTGCTTCTAGTGTGGAAGGTGCTTTTCACTGCCTAGGCTCAGCAATGCACTCAGAGGGGTCTCCTCACTGACGGCGTATGTGGAGGGTCCTCACAGGGATCCTGGCCAGAAGCCCTACCCGCTGGGAACACAGACATGCTGTAGAGGCTGAGCCGGGGCAGGGAGCCGGCTGGACCAGTACCTGCTGGTGGAGGCCCAGGCGCAGAGTAAGGCCCCCGCGGCGCTGCTCATCCCCATGCTCAGCGCCCAGCAGGTGCTTGTTGAAGTGTGGCAGGGGCAGGCTGGGCCGGAAGTCGGAGCTCAGCATGCTGACCGGCGCCAGCATAATGAAGGCGTTGGTCACGGGACCTGGGTAGGGCAGGTGGCCAGTCAGGAGCTACCTCGGCCAGGCCTGGGCCATGGCTCCCACACCCTCCACTCCTCAAACCCACCCACCTGTACAGGAATGGCCCATCTACTTTCTTCTAGCTGGTCCTACCTCCCAGCACCCAGCCAAGTGGCTGGGGTGTGGACAAACGGGCAAAGCCACCCAGCTTACAGCCTGTTGGTCTTCTGCCCCCCAGCCCCACCTTTGAGGGTCACTGTCCTGATGCACTGCTTGCTCTGGATGTCCCAGACGCGCACGGTCTCGTCATGTGAGCCGGAGAGCAGCACGCTGCCATCAGTGGACACTGACAGGCAGGTCACCTGGTTCCTGGGGACACAGGTCTGAGAAAGGGTGGCCCAAATGACCCCCGACCCCAGGAGCTAGAGAACAGGGCCCCTCCCCAGCTACCAGTCTGGTCTCCACACCTGTGGCCTTTGAACACCTTCCCGCTGTCCTGTTCCGACTGGAAGCTCTTCTCGCTCTGTCCAGGCTGTGGAGGCCGAGGGGCAGTGAGCAGAGGGATACAGTTGTACCTCAGCCCTGGGGGCCCCAGGGCATTGGGGTGATGGGCTGGGGCAGAGCCCAATTGGCTCGAAGACCTAGATGCAGGGGAGGATGGACAGTCCCAGGGCCTTTGAAGGATGGACCCTGGGTGTCCCACTGTCCCATAAGCCTCCAACCACGGGCCCAGGTACCCACCACTCACCCAGGTGCAGAGGTCGACCTGGAAGATGGAGCCCTCACTGCCACCGCAGAACATGTGATGCTCAGCTAGGTCCATGGTCACGGCCATAATGCCCACGTCGAAGAGCACAGAGAGCAGCAGCTCGCCCGAGGAGATCTCCCACAGCTGGGGGCAGGCGGGATATGGGATGGGGCTCCACAGACACTGGGGTCCCAATGGTGCAGGGAGCTGAGCAGCCCTGAATGGGAGACCCTGTACCAGAACCTCAGAAGGGAGCTGTCACTCAGGGGGATCTCGGCCCTGGGGCACTTCCTGACACAGCTGGGTTCTCACGCCCAGGACCCCTTGTCACTCCATTTTAGCTGCTGTCAGGCCTGGATTCTGCCTTCCACAACCATCACCACCAAGGACAAAGACCTACAGGCTGGACATCGTCAAATCCCCGAGGAGTCAGGGAGCCACCAGAGGCAGGTGGCCAAGCAAGAATTTCAGAGCCAACACAGGCCTAGTTTGCTGTCCCATGGATGTCCTTGAGGTGGGAAGCCTTGGGGGATTGATAGCTGTATAGAGCTACCAGCCTGGGGGGAGCAGGAGATCCACTGACTCACATCAGCCAAGAGCCTGCCAGCTACCCCAGCCCAGCTCACAGATCCACTGTGGGGGAGGGGGCCGGTCCTACCTTCACCGTCTGGTCCAGCGATGCTGTGGCCACCCGGGCCAAGGGACCCCCGAAGCCACAGTGCATGTCTGTGATGGGGAGGGTATGGTGGGACCAAACATGCCGGGGGGCTGGGGTCCTGGAGGAGTCCACCTGCAGCACGCTGCGGGAGAAGTGGATTCAGGGGGAGGACTGTACCTGATGCCTCCACCCACCTCCACAGCCACTGGCCCATGCCACTGGCAGAAAATTCTCAGGTGTCTCCAGTCAGTCCCTGGACAAACAATCACACTGTCCTCACAACAGTCCACCCGACCTGCAGGCCCCGGACCCGGTTCCTTCTTGCCCCGGGACTTTGGCGTGGCCTTCTGCAGGGCAGGCTCCTGCCCTCTGGGCTGAGGCCTCACCTGGCTGGAAGCTACGGACTAGGCGCAGGCCCGAGTGGGTCAGGGCGCTACCTGCACAGGCTCCACACCAGCACCAGGCAGTCCTTGCCGCCCGAGAGGAAGTGGCTGCTGTCCCCTGTGAACTGCAGGCAGGAGATGTCCTGGTAGTGGCGGCTCAGGATGACCAGGAGGTTCCCTGTGGAGACCTGGGGAAGGCAGGGCACACGCAGGTCAGGGCAGGATGCAGGGTGCAGTGCCGGGCCCCACAATTGGCAGGTTACTGAGGTGAAGGGAGAGTCTGCCCAGGGGCAGGGAGAAGGGTGGTATGACGACAGCATCCAGAAAAGGAATGGGTGGGAGTGACAAAGCTGGTGAGGGAGCTGGTCCTTTCCGGAGCAGCTCCTCATGCTGACTGTCACCGCAGGACGTCACAGTCTTCCAGGCCAGCTGTGAGGGGCTTCAAATGCAGCCTCGACACTTGGTCTAGCAGGAGGGGGGGGGGGGGGGAGGGAGTTAGGGCCAGACAGCAACCGCAATGGCCTGGAGTACTATGACTGTCCCCCATCAAGGAGGGGGGACCTCCTAAGATGCCCCCACCAGGCCACAAGCCACTGGTTTCTATCATGCCGCCGGCACCAGGCTGGCAGCAATCAGGGCAAAGGTTTCTACCATGACGGGCAATCTGTGAGGAGCCTCTCCCTGCCTCCGTTTCTCTCCCTGTGCATGAATAACTGCATCCTTGTTTCAGAACCAGGACTAAGGCTTAAAAGTCCCAGGATGAGATAACAAAGCTTCTCCCATCTTGCAGAGAACTCAGTTCCCTTGGCAGACCTCTATTTTGCAGGTCAAGGTTAAGGTCAGGCAAGGCAGAGGTGGTTATACCCACCTTCTGGCCCCAAATCCTACACTGTCTGCACAGGAGGTGAGGCAGGTCTCCCCTCTCAAACAACCAACTGTTGGTGACAACGCTGCTGGTGGTCTAACTCCGCGGTCCATAGGCTAAGTCCCATGACCCTGGCTCTGACACTCACCTCCCATAGGTATATGCTCTCTGCAATCCCTGCCAACATGTAGAGGCCGTTGGGCGATGTGGTCAGACAGGTAACAGGCCCGGGGCACATGATCTTCTGCTGGAGCTGGTCCTAGAGGAACATAAGAAGCCTATGAGCTTCATGCAGGACTAGGGAGCCAGGGAGCAGTGAGGAGAGTGAGTGGGGGGTGCCCAGGCAGCTGGTAAATCCACGAAAACCAGAAAGAATGGGGATAGAGATGGTTTGAGCAAATTCACGGTACAGTAAAGAAGTGTTCACTCCAGCCCAGCTTTGCATGCTGGAGGTGGAGAATGGCAAATCCTTGGATAAGAGCAAGGTGGTGTTCCTGCCTGGATGCAAGGCGTGGCTCTGTGGATGAACGTCAGCCTATGAACCAGGAGGTCACGATTCGATTCCCGGTCAGGGCACATGCCTGGGCTGTGGGCTCAATCCCCAGTGTGGGGCATACAGGAGGCAGCCAAACAATGATTCTTTCTCATCATTGATGTTTCTCTTTCTCTCTCCCTCTCCCTTCCTCTCTGAAATCAATTTAAAAATAGATACATATATTAAAAGGAAAGAAAAGATGGTGCTCTTATGGGCATAGGGATGGGGGTGGGAGAGGCACAGAGGGTCCAGGAGGGCATTGGGGCTGAAGAACCCAAAGGCCAGTCGTCTCATTCCCCAATCCTGCCTTCCTAAGGGCCCCCCCATGACCTTGAACCTCAGTTTCCAAATCTCTAAAATGGGAAAATGTAAGTTCTGTGTGGCCCACACCAGGCAAAGCCAGAGCACAATGCTTGTCCCAAGAGATTCCAGCTGGCAGAAAAAGGCAGCGTGTTACCTGCAGGAGCAGCATTTTGGGGTTGCTTTAAGAGACACCATGGGCTCTGAGGAGGGATAGTCTCTCTTTTGGGAGGATAAAA